ATGGAAACAACCTGGGTGCCCATCAACAGATGAACAGATGAACTATGGTACATACACACAATGGAATACTATGCAACGATAAAGAATAACGGTGAATCTGCGAAACATCTCACAACATGGATGAATCTGGAGGACATTATGCTGAGTGAAATAAGTCAATCACAAAAGGACAAACACTATATGAGACCACTATTATAAAAACTCATGAAAAGGTTTACACACAGAAGGAAACAATCTTTTATGGTTACAAGGGAGGCTGAGAGACCGAATTACTGGGCTGAGGGCTGGGGACCATGGTCCCAGGGAACATCTAGCTCATTTGGCATAACATAGTTTATAAAGACAATGTTCTACATCCTACTTTGGTGAGTAGTGTCTGGGGTCTTAAAAGCTTGTAAGCAGCCATCTAAGATACTCCACTGGTCTCACCCCGTCTGGAGCAAGGGAGAATGAAAACCAAAGACACAAGGGAAAGATTAGTCCAAAGGACTAACGGATCACAAGTACCATCGTCCCCACCAGACTGAGTCCAGCACAACTAGATGGTGCCCGGCTACCACCACCAACTGCTCTGACGGGGATCACAATAGAGGGTCCCAGACAGAGCTGGAGAAAAATGTAGAACAAATTCTAACTCACAAAAAAAGACCAGACTAAATGGTCTGAAACAGACTGGAGAACCCCGTGAGTATGGCCCCTGGACACCCTTTTAACTCAGTACTGAAGTTACTCCTGAGGTTTACCCTTCAGTCAAAGATTAGACAGGCCCACAAAACAAAACAAGACTAAATGGGCACACCAGCCCAGGGGCAAGGACAAGAAGGCAGAAGGGGACAGGAAAGCTGGCAATCGGGAACCCAAGGTTGAGGAGGGGAGAGTGTTGACACGTCATGGGGTTGGCAACCAATGTCACCAAAACGTGTATTGTTTAATGAGGAACTATTTGCTCTGTAAACTTCACATCAAGTACAATAACATCTCAAAAAAAAATTATCGCTGAAAAATTAAATGAAATACATGAAAGCACGGTACCTCGCACAAAAGCATGCATCCCATAGTGTTGGTATGTTTTGAAGGTATGTTAAAGATTATCGATAACAGTTGCTTAAACACCTTCTTTGGCAGCATGAGCGTATTTACAGCATACCTATTTGACGGCGCATTTACTTTGAGAGATATAACCAAAAAACAATGCAAAGTAAAATGTTCAGATTATGCAATTGTTAAGTATTGTTTTTAAAATTCAACTCAGTAAACATATATTGAGCACCTACTATGTGCCAGGTACTATAATGCTAAGGCCTGAAAATTCAAAGATAGACTAAGACAATGGTCCCACCTTCAAGAAACCCAGTGTAAAGGGAAAGGAGAGAGGGCTGACACGTTGCCGGGACTGCAACTAACGTCACGAAACAATTTGTGGACAAAGTTTTCAATGAAAAACTATTTTGCGCTGTAAACTTTCACCTAAAACACAGTAATATTAAAAATAATCATCAGAATAATGGGATACTCTGACACCAGTTGTTGCCTGAGGGACACCCCCAGAAGGACAAGGTATCACTTATACGGTATTCTTGCAAAAACGTCTGAGGAAACCAAACCATGAGGTAACAATGAGACAAACAGAAACTGAAGGATATTCTACAAAACAATGAAACTTTCCTCTTGAAAATGTTAATGCTATGAAAGACAAAGAAAGGAACAGAAACTGCTCCAAATTGAAGGCAACTAGAGACATGCGCAGTGGTTTAAGAGGTAAGGCAAACTATGGCTGCCAAGAGGTGGGCAGCTCAAATCCACCAGCCGCTCCCTGAAAACCCTATGAGGCAGTTCTGCTCTATCCTGTAGGGTTGCTATGAGTCAGAATCTACTGGAGGGCATTGGGTTTGGTTTTTTTTTTAAGAGACATGACCTCTGAATGCAAGGTGGGATCCTATTTTGAATCCTGTACTGGGGGAAAAAAGTTACTACAAAACACAGTATTGAGACAGTGGAATTTTAGTATAAACTGTATATTAGATATTATATTGCATCAATACTAAACTTCCTGAACTAAAAAAATAAAAAAGAAACTTGGAGTCTAGAAGAGACGATAAAAATTATGATGTAAAAGTATAATAACAAAGCACGTACACAAAGTAGCCCTGGTGCTGCAGTGGTTAAAGCACTCAGCTGCTAACTGAAAGGTCTGCAGTCCAAATCTACCAGCTGCTCTGCAGGAGAAAGATGCTGCTTCCATAAAGATTTACAGCCTTGGAAACCCTATGGGGTCCCTATGACTCGGGATCATCTCCATGGCAGTGGTTTTGAGAGTATTTGGAAGGGGTCAAGAAGTCCGTGGGTGGTACAAACGGTTAACACCCTCAGCTGCTAACCCAAAGGTTAAAGGCTCAAGTCCATCCAGAGGCACCTCAGAAGAAATGCCAGGCAAAAAGACAGACATTGGAAACCCTACGGAGGGTATCAGAAGTTCTACTCTGAACACATGGGGTCCCAACTCGTTTAAAGGGGTCAAAGAGGAAGTAGCTAAAGCAGCCTAGGAAAGCATGAAGACCAGGAGTTCTGTGGGCAGAGTCTTGGGTTTGAAGCCGAGCTCAGCCATTTACTAGCTACATGATTTGGGGCAACTTAATTTACCTCTCTCAGCTTCTTTGTCTGTAAATCTACTTTAAAGAGTTACTCTAAAACTTGATATAATATAGGTAAAATGCCTGACACAGTGCAGACACTCAATAACTGGTAGCTGCCTTGTTTTAGAGGTAAGGAGTTATGTTTGTTTGTTTTAATAGACCAAGTTCGAAGAATGGCAGTGCAGGTAGTATGTCTTGACTAATGCTCACACTACTGTGGAGGAGGCCACAATGAACCAGGTCCGAATGTTACCACTTTTAAGCAGTGAAGTAGTTCCTAACATGTGGTACACTGCCCCGCTGGGGAAACATTTTTCTAATCCGGTGCTTTCTGCATTCTTACCTCGACAAGCAGAATTCTACACACCTACGACACTCCTTTTCCTAGCAGACATTGTTTCCACATCCCTTAGTTCCACTGTCACCAATCTTTTGATATTCAGCATATCCTCTACCAAATGACAAAATCCGGTGAGCAAGTGACAGACTATTAAGCTTGTAACGGGAGATAATTAGGGCTAACCCTGGGTTGAAACCTCTGTTATTAACCTATTGGTTTACTTGTGGAATTGGAAGCCATTATAATGGTTACATTCTAAACAAATATATTTTAAAATACTGGTAAATCTGGCCAAAAGATATTTACATTTTCTCTATACCTCCCAGAGCTAATTTTCTCTAAATACCCTTCGATGAGCTAAGCCTGTCATCAACATGTATAAACATATACTCTTATTGAATTCTTACTTTTCGTCTCACTCCAAAAAACATAACTGATACACCATTTTAAACAGCAAACAGTAAAGCCATAAGTAAGATACACTAGTCTATCTCTAAATTTAACTGAATCGGGAAAGGATCTTTATGGTAATTTAGTTTTTTAGAACTATAAAAGCATGTTTCTTACCTGCCATTGATGTTGGGTTGATTCCAACTCATAGCAACCCTACAGGACAGAGCAGAACTGCCCCATAGGGTTTCCAAGGAGCGCCTGGTGGATTCGAACTGCTGACCTTTTGGTTAGCAGCCATAGCTCTTAACCACTACACCACCAGGATTTCCTCCTTACCTGGAGCCATTATTTAAAGTCAGTTTTGCTCCAAGTTAAACTACCATAGCTTAAAAGCGAAGATACCAGGAATCAATCCAGAATCTACGTTAATTTTAGTTTCCTTAAAGTCATCTTTGTATGTAATTCTGTAATTTTTTTTGTCTATGAGCATCTCCATATCCACCCTTAAGAAAAGTGAATTCCATACCATGCCAGATTTTAAAGAATGTCTACTTTATCTATCTACAGTATGTATAGATCTATATCTATCTATGCTGGCAAGACAGTATCTGTGTATTTGTAAAACAGTCTTAACACTCAACCAGTTTAACATAATGCTCCTTTAAATACTAATGTTCTATCAAAATAAATTGTCCTATCCATTTTTTAAGCATTAAATCCGCAGGAGCAAGCACTAAGGAGTTATCAAATTGCAAATGAATCTCTCTTGTAAACACTACTCTTTTCAGAGTATTTTTTTTTAACCCAGAACTCAAAGAGTATAATGTAAGCATTCCCACATTAACAAAACCAGAAGTTTCTTCACAAAGCAAACCTACAGATTTGATATAAACACGTATCACTGCTCACTTTTACAACCAGAAATTGATGTTAATTACTGTAATGTAATTAAGTTCAATTCCCGAAAGCCTTAAGGAATTAAAGGAAATACACAAGATTATCAAATGTCACAGAAGCAGCAGCTTGAGGCCAGAAGGAGACAGATAAAAGGCAGTCACAGTGGAGATGGGCGATACGTGGCTAAAGCTAAAATAATCAGAATACACTAGACCTTTGGCCCAGCCCCTCACCCTGTATAATCTACTTATCATCTATATCGCCAAAAAAAAATTAATGGTTGATGCAAACCGATCATTGTGAGCAGGACATTTAAGTCTTGCATACAGTTTGATATGCCAAAAAGAAAAAGCGCTAAACCAGAAAAACACCTAAGCGGCAAGCGGCGTCGTGTGCACCGGGAGGGGGAATGGAATAATAGCTAACTGTGCCGAAGTCTCCGCACTAAGGCTACTTCGCGCGTACTACACGCGCAGGGGAAGAGGCGGCGGTCGTGGACTCCTCCTGCTGTTCAGGAGCCTCAGAGCTCGGGGAGGCGGTGACGGGCGCCAGCGCCCCCGGAACCCGAGCAGAGGGGATCCGATTAACACCTTTCTTGTCGGGACCTGGGGCCTTGCGCTCCCGACTGGAGCACGCATTGGGGTGCGGGGAGGCCAGGAGCCAGTCCCCTCCTCCACAGGGAGCAATGAGGCGAGAGGCGGCACCGCATTCCGGTCCCCAGCAGGCGCATCAATTACCCGTGAGGTTTCTCAGCACCGTCCCGTGGGCCCAGAGGCTCAGGACCTGCTGCACCGACAGGTTGATCATGGAGTGGTCGCCCCCTTCCGCCTTCATTTTCCCCGGGGGGCGCCCGCCGCCCTCTCCTCCGAGGCCCGGCAGCGGCGGCGAGGCTCGGCGGGC